TCTAACCTATCTTACTCCTGAGATCTCACCATCATCTATTCTCACCACTTTGACTCTAGTTCAGGCAGACCTTATTATCTTATGATTACAATTTAGTTTCTGACCTCATCAATCAACTGAAACTGTTTTCTCCAAAGTTACTGATGATCTGTTAAGCGCCAAATCTTTTCTTAGGTCTCATCCTTCTTGAACTCAGTATTTGATATTATTGACCACTCTCTCCCCCTGGCAACTTTCTCCTCTCTTGGTTTTCATGAAACTACCCTTACCTTGTTCTCCTTCTATCTTCAGAATCCTCCTGAGTCTCCTTTGTTGGCTCATAATCTATATCCAACCCCCTACTGATGGGTATTCCCCAAAACTGTCTTGGGTTTTCTTCTCTTTCCACATATCCCAGTCTTTCCCTTGAGCTTCAATTCTACATCACAAATTGCCTATTGGACATTGCAAACTGGATATTTAGTAGTGATCTTAAACTCAATATGTCCAAAATGGAATTCATTAGCTTCATATTCCCCCTTCTTCAAGAAACCACTCTTCTTCAAAACTTCCTTATTTCTATCAAAGACGTCAAAGTTTTTCCAGCTTCCCAGATGTTTATCCTCATCTCCTTACTGTCCTTCACCCCACAAATCCATTTAGTGGCGAAATCTTGACATTTCTTCCTCTACGATATTGTTCACATCCTCCTTTTTCTGTCTACTCACGCAACCACTACCTCAGTTCAGATTCTCATCTCCTTTTGCTGAGATTATTTCAATAGCCTTTTAACTGATCTTCCTGCCTCCTCACTTCAGTCTGTCTTCCACACAGCTATCAAAGTGATTTTCCTTATGTACAGATCTGACAATGTTACTCCCACATTCAATAAATTCTAGTGGTTTTTTGTTTTTACCAGAAAACACTTACTAGAAAACTCTTTACCAACAGAGGCTACTCAGTATGACCATGGCACACAAAGGGACAGTCAGACACACAATACCCTGGCTTCCTCAGGGGCTTGTCATTCTTTATACTAGAAAAAACACACAGACAATACTTATATCATGTCTTTTCTTAGGAGTGCCAGAGAACATAGCTGCCACTTTCTCAAGTCTGGGAAGCTTTCATGGGTTTAACTCTAGCTCAGCAAACAACTCAATCCTTTTTTTTTGTTTGTTTGTTTTTTTTTTGTTGTTTCGTTTTGTTTTTGATGAAGCAATCAGGGTTAAGTGACTTGCCCAGGGTTACACAGCTAGTCAATTCATTCTTTGTAAAGTCCATCAGCAACTAGTAATGGTCTTTTCTTAGAAACTCCTCAAATACTCCATCTACTGAGCTCCATAAGTTATTTAAATGGCAAGATATTTGCTCACAATATGTTTCCCTTGGTCCTCATATCTCCAAAGAGACTTCTCTAATTGTGATAATAATATTGTCTTGTTGAAATCCTTCAAGGATTTACTTAAGGCTCAAGTCAGGTGCCATCTCTCCTTTGTAAAACCTCGGTTCTCACCACTGCTTTCCCATCCCCCACCCCAGCACTTTGCAATTTAAAAGTATTCTTTTCCTTTAATGTTTCACATCATTCTGTTTGAATACATACATGTTCTGTGTACTTTCTGTAACCTAACACAGTATAATTACTCATATATATAGCTTATTTCCGCCTATTAGTCTTTTGAAAAAAATTAATACATTAATGTCGTTTTCTCCTACTAGATTTTCAAGCTCCATCAATGAGCCCTGTGACCAGCACAAAGTAGGAGCTTAGTTAATGCTTGTTGAATTGAGTTGGGAAATATGAGATGATGATATATACTTGGTTCCAGAAATTAGTCAGTTCTAAAATCAGTATCCAAAGAGCTCTTATCATCAAAATTAAAACATACTTATGTTCCTCAGTGGTTGAGAAGGTTCATCTTCAATGCCCAGAATGTAAAAACAGCCAGTTAGGTTTTACTCCTAGAAGGAAAATTTGGGAGGGTGGACAAAAGTTGATAAATTCAGGCTACCTTTGCCTGCTACTTATCTCCTTTCCACAAACACTTAATGAAGGATTTTCTGACATCACTGGCAAGCATCATTTTGTTCTCCATTCTCATATCAAATCTATCACTTTGGACTCTAAGGCTTTGTTCACCTAATGCCAAAATAACGTGTCAGTCAGATGAGTTGTATACAGGGTAGCTATTTTAATGAAACCAGCTTAATGGGAAGGACTAGGCAATTTGTTTAAGTAACAGTGGGGTCAGCATGCATCACTAATAAGTGGACCAAAGAATTCATTACCAAGGGGTTAATCTGAAAAGCTTCCAATGTAAACTACATTTTATTCAGTTTAATCTACCCTGTTACATGGTCTTGCATGGTCTAAATTGAGCTTAATTCTTCACATTCAATTTGTGCTTAAAGCATGCAGGAAACATGGAGGTGAAAGAATGTTGGCCTAGGCCTTAGCAGGGATGAAAGGGACCTTTAGCTTAGAGAGAGCCTCCAGGCCTTACAGCCCAACTTCCCTTGCTTTGTTAGTGCCCATAAAAAAGGCCTAATAAGGACATGAGATAAAGGGAAGTTATAATTCTGGGAGAGGCCATGTGGGTTAGTGGTATGAACACGAAGTTAGAAGACTCAGTTTGCATCTTAGTTTTGCCACTTACTCTGTGACTATACGAAAGTCAACTTCATTGAGCCTTAATTTTCTCATCTATAAAATGGGGATAAAGCTTGCCCTGTCTAACCTACTGGTTTGTTGTGAGTATCAAATGTGACAAGTCTGTTATAGAATGTCACAATGTAATGCATAATTATTCTTACCAAATTTTAATGAGAGGAGTGGAGTGGAGTGGCTAAGTGAGCTGGCCTCAAAGGCCGGAAGGCCCTGCCTTCCTCCCTAGTCCTTTCCCTTCCTAACGCTGCTGTGTCCCCACTCCCGCTCCCCCCCCATCTTTAGATGTGTAACCTTGGGCAAGTTGCAACTCTTTAAAATTATAAATTTAGAGAAGATTCTGACCATCATTGGTAAATGGAGCTTCTTGGGAGAAATCACAGTTCTAGTCCCTATTTCTACTTTAATATTAATAAATATAATAAATATAAATGTTTATTTACATTTAAATATAATAAACATTATATTTATAATGTAATTATACAACATAATATTTTCATATATAGTAAATATATGATATTTATAATATATAAATATATTATTTAAATAATATATTAATTAAATATAGTAATATTTAAATACAATATAACATAAATGTGATATTTTAGATATTATAAATAAAATTTATAATATTTTAAATATAATATTTGTTAGCAGCAATCACAGAGTAATCTTTGGAAACACATTAACATTGTGTATGCATGCCTTTAGTGGTACAAATAGGCTTTTTAGTACTAAAAGAAAAAAAAATCCATAGCAACTAAGTGCAAAATTCTAGCAAGAATGTTTTCCTGATTTGGACATTGCAAAAATGAATGAGAGAATTTAAACTAGAATTGACTGAACTTTTGGGCCACTAATCAGTTGCCCAAAGTTAAGGATCACTGCAAGTTAATGTCAATTTTAATTCAATTCATTTCGATTCTAAAGGCATTAATTGAACTCCTACTATGTATCAGGCACCTGTGAGATGATAGTGATACAAAGAAAAGAAAAAAGATAGTCTCTGGCATTCTTTTTCCAAATGTTCTGTCCAAGGCAGAATTTTCCTTAACTTTTTAGCCTTTCTTATTCCAACTAGCAATTTATTTACCTGCAACCTTGGCTGGTTTTTTATGGCCAGCCGTTGGTGGTAAAAGCCACGGTGACCTGTGGATAAGGGATGCTTTGTGTTTCATTATGCAAGGGTGTCTCCCCCTCTCCTTACTAATATGCAGGAATCTTCTTGCTATTGTCTGATACAAGCAATGTTCATTGTTATTTATAGCAAAATGCTAGGAAAATCTGAAGCAGAGGCTTCTCCTGACATATTTTGCCCTTATTTCTCCAGATACACACTCTAGTTGTTGTTTTTAATGCAAAACAACTCAATGCTAGCTGTAGCACTATTTCTCAAAAACTGATTATAGCAAGTTTCTTCTATCAATCAGAGCACTGAAAAAAACAGGCTTCTTTCTGGGTTTTATCCTTGTCTACAGTTATCTATGACTATACCTTTTAAGTTTCTTCTTCTTACTTTTTACCACAGGGCTTTAACCTGATAGGAAAAACATCTAGCAAACAATAGGCATTGCAATGGAAGCCATAAAAGCTACATACAGACTAACTGGACTAGTTAATTAGTGTTTGCATATGCACACTGCTCAACTGAGAGGCTGAGCTCCTGGGCCATTTTGAAAGACTTAAAAAAAAAGTCTTTTAAAAGGAATGTAGGCTTTAAAATCATGGCAGTTGAAAACCAACAGGAATATTTTTATGCGACGTATTTCTGCTTTAGCACCTTTTAAAAGTTAATAGATTCAAACAGTATTCTTGGTGATTGGGAAGGCAAGTTTCCTGAGTGAAAAGATTAGCATTTTGGTGGGTGGGAAATTAAGGGAAATCTAATTTAGGATCTGAAGCTGCAAAAGGCAAATTAGGGCAGCAGCAAGTGCTCCCCCATTTCCCACTCCCCTCCCTATTTCCCCTAGAAAGCCTAGTAATCAGCACCAGCCACACAGGAGAGGCTACAAATACTGCCTTGGAGTTTAGATTAACAAATAGGTTTTGTTCTCTTTTCAAACCCTGTCTGCAGGCAAAAAGAAATTACCAAGAATCAAAACCAAACAAATTATAGATGTGGTTTGGTTAAGAAAAGGCATCTCCAAGTGCTTTAAAAGAAGTACCATGTAAGTCTAACTTGGAATGTGCTTATTCTGGGGAACATGCTCAGCTACCCACGCAGCATTTGAAAACACATGTTTAGAAGCATATTCATAATTGCATTCTCTTGGCGCCTGATTTTATTACCAACCCAGATATGAATGAACACTGCTGAAATTTTAAGAAAGCCATTTTTGCTAGCAGAAATACCTCAGGGGAAGGGCACCCGGGAATGGAGGGGCATGCATCTCCTTTGGAGACAGCTGTGTCTATGCAGTTTTCTCCTCAATGCCAGGTTACCTGCAGTTAGAAAAAGAAAAACATTTTTTTGCTGATGCCTCCAGAAAATCATATATCATGTTGCTGGAGCATGGAAAGAAATCTTTTAGAACCAGGATGCCTGGTAGTCATTTGCTAGATGATAATTCATATGACAAAGGCATCAGGATGCGTAATTCACATGTATTACTAAAATGCTAGCAAGGTAATCAGAATGAATCAAGGAGGGCATTTTCAAGCTCAGTATAGCCAGGGCTGTCATCTTCTTTACTCTTAAAGGGCTGCTTACTTAAACAGAACTTGCCCTTTAAGTTTCTGTCCAGTGAATTAATCACCAATATTTTACAAGAACCTGGACCAAAGTAAACTTCATTCTGCAGACTTCGGCGTGTTGAAGAACTGAAAGCTATAAACAATGGAACAGGGCTCATTTGGAAAAGTACATTTTTCTTGTGAATGTCAGAGGGCATTCCACATGGATTCTGGTTGCGATTTATCCTCTGAGTCAGTGAGCTTTTGGTCAACAACAACAAAAAAGATAGTCTGTACTGGAGCCAGTCATGAACATGTGATTAACCCTGTGCTCATTCTCTGGATGACCTTTTCTCTATCTCTATCTTCTCTATCTTAACTAGAGTATACTCTTATGTACCTATTTTCTTATACTTGGTCTTTTCAGTTTATTATTTCAGTTGCCTACTTTTAAAATGTCCCCTGACAGGTAACTTAACATATGGTCTTATTATTTGAACTTGTTAGTTTGGGTCCCATGGCTTAGAAAAATAATTCATCTTCTTACTATGATGGTTTCCACTTTTTTGGAACCATGGATGTAAAAGGATATTAGCATGTTCTTTTGATTTGCTTTGGAATATAAGCTCCCTGAGGGCAGGGGCTATTGATGTGTTTGCTTGTTTTGTCTTTATATCCCCAGTGCCTACTACTGTGTCTGATGTATGTTAGATGCCAAGCAAATGTTTGTGGGGTTGGTATGGTTTTATAATATACCAACTTTATTAAAAACTCTGGTAGCCCAGCACCATGATTGAGATAATTACTGAAGAAGATACTTAAAGCAAAGAAATACTATGCACCAAAAGTATGTATGTCTGCCATACCCGGAACCTTTTTGTTTTACATTCATAAAAGCACTACCAGAACGTGACTTGCTCTTTCTTTTTTTTTTTGCTTTTTTTTTTTAATTTCAAGAGAGCCACCTCAATTTCATTGCTAGAAATAGAATAGCTACTGCCCTTAAGCAAGTTCAATTGCTTTCTGCTACACAGTGATTCTATTAAGGTATAAAAAACCCAGTTAAGCTTAGCAGATCCCAGTCTTCAGCAAAGGTGCTTAAATGAACTGTTTAGTATTCTACCATTTAGCTATACATATAAGATTTTATTTAGCACTTTAATGAGCACATCAATTTTCCGGATGGTCAGGACCGCAAAAAAAAAAAAATTGCAACAGCTCGGGGTTCAGCATTTTGAACTCACTGATGCAAACCTTATGTATCTCATTTATCTTTATATTTGTCTTCAGCTATCACTTTAACAGTCTATCAAAGTAATTAACCACAGAGTAGAGCATGCTTTGGAATTCATAAACATTTCCTTGAGTCACTATCAATTTTCTCCAAAAGACAAAGGTATATAGACACACATATACCACCACACACATATACTCTACATACATATGCATATCAGTATGTAGACATATCACACATATCATTATGATGCAATTCAAATATGTTAATGTAAAAGTCCTACCTGGCCTTTGTCCATTGATAAGGAGTATACCCATCGTGAAAAAAAGGAATAGAAGAAAGAGCAGCTGAAATCTCATTCTGCTGCCACACAGAAAGATAGCCAGAGCACTCCCAGAAAACCAAACAATCCTTTAAATACTCCTGCAGTATCTGTGTGGCTCAGCTCACAATTCTAATGACAAACCTCAGAGTGAGTTGCCAGCTGTGCTTTCCAGCAAGGCTAATGATCACATAAGACAAGGTTACTGGTGCTGCACTGTGGTCAGTGCCTCCCTCTTCCCCAACCCCCTTCCTGCACCCCCTCTCCCTTTTCCTGTCACTCCCCTTTATTTTCCATAAGCAAATAATGGTGAAATGGAGCATACCAGTAAACAAGCACTTCACTGGGGTCTACTAGCTTTCCTAAAGGAGAATGCTAAGACTTCCCTTTAAATTCAACCTAGAAATAGAGAAATATGTAAAACAAGGCATGATACTGCCCTTCCCCTTCTCCATTTGCAACTGTTTAAACTTTGCATTGCCCATATTGGTCCCACATGCAGAAAGTAATGGGAATGACAGGAAGTCTTTCTTTTGTCCCTCTCAGAAAGAATTCTGCAGCCCTTACTTAAGAGCCCCTAGTGCTTTGTAGCAGGGCTAGCTGCTGAAATGCTTTCTGTTCCCCAAACTAACTGCAAAGTGGTGGCTATTCAGGGGGAATTTGTAAACTACAAAATCTGGTGTGCCTTTTGTACCATGAAGTGTTCTTAGGGTTCAGCACAGCCTGAAATAAGTCTTGGAAATCCTAAGCTTAGAAAACAAAAACTAAAATGTAGAAAGTGGCCCTGACAGATTTATTGTAAGAAAAAAAATTTCATTGCTGGGGGAAAAAGTCGGTCAAAACCAGCGGAACATGACTAGTGCTCTATTCTTCTACATTGGCATGTGAGAGGAGGCTAGGAACAGGAATTAGAAAAGAAGGAAATTTAGGCAACTTCAACCCCCTGACAGACTCAGGATTTTCACCTTTAAGTTAAAAAATTGTCGGATCTCTTTATACATTACAATTTGTCCTTGGTAAGCAGTAGGTATGCTGCTATTGCTGGTGCCATTTGAAGAAGATAATATACTTTGGAAGTTAACCAGAATGAATGATGATGTGATGGGAAAGTGCTACAGGTAGAAAGGATAACTTGGGTTATAATTCATAAATAATTTTTTGTATTTAGTTCCAAGTTCATTGTTCGAGCTATATACATGGTTGCAAAAAAGTCAACTGAATATAATTGGTTGGATAATGCAAACACCAAGTGCTTACAACGTGCATGTGGGGGAATTGGGCTCCTTGGGGGATATCAAGATGTATTAGATGAGGTCCCTGCCTTCAACAACAACAACAGCAGCCGCAGCAGCAGCAGCAGCAGCAGCAGCATTTGTAAAGTGCTTTACAAATGTTAGCCCATTTGATTGAAGAAGTTTGTAATTTAGTAGGGGGGTAAACAAGATAGATACATAGCTAATTATATTATAAATTAAAATCTAAGTTCATAAGATAAGTGAAAACAACATTCTCTGAACAGGACTTGGAGTTTTGTTTCGTTTTGCTGGGGGGATGGGGAAAGCTTTGTAAATGAGCAATCACCCAACCTGGTTCCCTGAACAATAATTAGGATCTCATGAGTTAGAAATTGAGTTGTAGAAAGGCAAAAGGGGAGAAGAGAAGAGTTCTCTTCTTTTAAGAGAGTGGATGGTACAGAGGAAAGAGCACTAACTCTGATATCAGAAAACCTGGGTTCTAATCCCTCCTCGGACTCTAACTGTGGGAATTTGGACAGGTCACTTAATCTTCTCTTTATTCTCACTTCTCCATCTGTAAAATAAGGAGATTGGGCTAGGTGGTGTCTGAGGTTGCCTTTAGCTCTACTCCTGTGATCCTATGAATCTGTTCTAAGCTAGTAGATTATGAAAACAAAGACACAGATATGGAATAAGGTGCCAGGAATATGGTGAACAATTCAGTTTTCCAGAGTGTGAACTATGTGAAGGGGAACATTGTGTGGTAAGGTGACATTGCTTATGAAAACTTTTTGCTTTATTTAAGTTTCCCAGGTTTAGATGGTTAGTAGTGACCCTGTTATTCTTTTCTTTTTTCTTTTTCCCTGTTGTTCTTCTACTTCTGGTGAGGCAGTTGGGGTCAAGCGACTTGCCCAGGGTCACACAGCTAGTAAGTGTCAAGTACCTGAAGCTGATTTGAACTCAGGTCCTCCTGACTGCAAGACCAGAGCTCTGTCCACTGTACCACCTAGCTGTCCCTCCCTGTTGTTTTTTAGGCTTAAAGTCAATCCATCAAGTTATCCTGAATCTAGAAACCAGTTCATAATCTTTTACTTAGTTAACTATAATTTCATTAAAACCATAAACATATAGAAGTTCCCAAAATAAAAACTTATATGGTGTCTCAAAAACTTATCAGTTTCTAGACTTTGTACTTGAAAGATTTTCCCCAAATAACTTAGAATTTGTCCTTATTTCCTTCTCAGTGTTCATGTCCCATCTTCTCCCCTCCAACACAGTGTAATTCATGACTTGAAAGAGTTATAGCATATGAGGCAGCGTGTATTTACCACTTAATATGGATTACCAAGTGAGGTATTCAGCTCTACTTGCCCTTTTAGGATCTAACACTAACAGGGAAGCAATTTTTTCATCTGCCCAAGAAATGTCATCTTTCAGTTATGTCTTCCATTCTGTGTCTAGGTGTGGCCCATTAACAACTGCTCAGCTTTAGGGCATGGTAATTCCCCGTGCTTGGCTTATGGGAAGAGGATTGGCTAGACATCACCCACTGTACCTGCCCTTGCATTACAATAGTTTTCTTAATCTTCTCTCCCTTTTCCCACCTAGTACTTGCTCAAGTTCAGGTGTCCTGAGATCATACTTCTTTTCTTGCATGCAATTCTCTTTAAACAATTTTTTAATTTTTCAATTAAGAAAAGTTTATTTTCTCTTCTCTTCCTCCCATTGGGAAAAAAAAGGAAAAGAAAGCTCTTGTAACAACTATCTAGTTTGTAGTTCTCAACCCGTTATTGTATATATTTAAAATCTATCATATTTTAACACATTTCTTAGAAAAAACCTCTAGGTGTGGGGCAGTGAGAAGACCCCCCTCTCTCCCGGGTCCTATTTCAGTAGGAAAACCTTAAAGGAACTATATAGTTTTTGGGTACATTATCAATTTAAAGGCATGGCTGCATAAAATTCATTAAATACTATTGGACCTATTATATAGTATTACTCCATGAATCAACTAGAACCCAAGACTTCTTTTTTTTAATTTTTAATTTTTCCCCAGTTACATGTAAAAACAATTTTTAACATTTGTTTTTAAAACTTTTTGAGTTCCAAATTCTCTCCCTTCCTCCCTCCCCACCCCCATTAAGAAGGCAAACAATTCAATATGGGTTATACATATGTAGTCATGCAAAACATATCCATAATAGTCATGTTGTGAAAGAAAACAGACAAAAAATTTCAAGAAAAATAAAAAATGTAAAAAAAAGTATGCTTCAATCTGTATTCAGATACATCAGTTCTTTCTCTGAGGATGGATAGCACTTTTTATTATAAGTCCTTCAGATTTGTCTTGGATCATTGTATTGCTGAGAATAGCTAAGTCATTCACAGTTGACTATCTTACAATATTGCTGTTACTTTGTACACAGTACATTTCACTTTGCATCAACTCATGTAAGTCTTCCCAGGTTTTTCTGAGAACATCCTGCTCATCATTTCTTACAGTACAATAGTATTCCATCATAATCACATATCCCAACTTGTTTGACCGTCCCCCTCAATTTCTAATTCTTTGCCCCCAGAAAAGAAGTGCTGTAAATATTTTTGCACATATAGGTCCTTTTCCTTTTTGTTTTTTATCTCTTTTGGAATACAGATGTAGTAGTGGTATTGCTAGGTCTTTGACCTAGCAATGGTTTTATAGCCATTTGGTAATAGGTCCAAATTGCCCTACAGAATGACTGGATCAGGTCACATCTCCACCAACAGTACATTAATGTCTCATTTTTCCCACATCCCCTCCACCATTTATTACCTTTTTGGTGTGATTAGCCAATCTGATAGGTATGAGGTAGTACTTCAGAATTGTTTTAATCTGTATTTCTTCAATCAGTACTGAGAGTATTTTTTCATATGGCTATAGAGAGCTTTGGTTACTTCATCTGAAACTGATCATATCTTTTGATCATTTATCAATTGGGGAATGGCTCTTATTTTTATAAACTTGACTCAGTTCTGTATATGTTTGAGAAATGAGGCCTTTATCAGAGAAACATGCTTCAAAATTTTTTTTGCAGTTACTATTGCTATTTCCCTCCATCCTATTCCCCTCTCGTGTTTGTTCTATTCTCTCTCTCTTCTTCAACTCTGTTTCTTCTCAAAAGTGATTTGGTTTTGACTCCTCATTCCCCGAATCTGCCTTCCCTTCTATCACTCCCTCCACCCTTATCCTCTTCTCCTAATTTCTTGTAGGGTAAGACAGATTTCTATGCCCAATTGCATGTATATGTTAGGCTCTTTGAGCCAATTCTGATGAGAATAAGGTTCATTCACTACCTCTTATCTCCCCCTTCATGACCTCCACTGTAAAAACTTTTTCTTGCCTCTTTTAGGTGAGATAATTTACTCCATTCTACATCTCTCTTTCTCCAAGTACAGTCCTCTCTCACCCCTTAATTTTGGACCCCAGACTTCTTTTTTTTTTTAAGAATATAGAACTTTTTATTATTTGTTTTGTTTTTAAGACAATTGGGTTAAATGACTTGCCCAAGGTCACACAGCTAGTGTCAACTGAGGCCAGATTTGAACTCAGGTTCTCTTGACTTCAGGGCTGGTGCTTTATCCACTGTGCCACCTAGCTGCCCCATGTCCCCAGACTTCTGTTGCCAAATGTAATATAATATACTGTTTAGCAAACTTCGCAATAGATATTAAATTGAATTAATTAATTGAATTAAAACATTGAAAAAGTTAACATCTTTTGGAAGGCTGGCAGATAAGAATATCCTTTCTTTTGAAAACATTAA